AAGCTTAAAAAAAGCTTTAAAAATCCTCCAAGCTTCACAGCACCAGAAACAGAAAAGTAAAGTGTCCACAAATACATTTTCTTGAGAAACTAGAAGAAAAAATGCCCAAGAAAAGGCAAAACTTACATATAGTCAACAGAGCTACCCCAACATGCAGCCGCCCAGAGCAGCGCAGTTCTGGAAAATGAATTACTGATAATAAAAAAAAATGCTGATAATTCGGCATGATAAAGAGACTTAGATATTAGGTTTCAGTTTAAGAGTAAATATTTCAAAAGATTACCAAAACTAAAGGATGACAATAGCTCACTCATGTCTGTCTGTCTCATTGATCTATTCATGAGTTTTCCAGGAGTAATTCAATTCAATTTAAAAATACTTTATTAAACCCAGAGGGAAATTGATTGCTGTAGTAGCTCATAATAATAATAATAATCAAGTCGTCAAAGAGTTATTGTATATTACAATGGCTGTTGGCAGGAAGGATCTCCAGTAGCGGTCAGTGTTGCAGCGAAACTGAAGAAGCCTCTGACTGAAGACACTCTTCTGTTGTCGGACAGTCTTGTGAAGAGAACGCTCAGGGTTGTCCATAATTTTCTTGATTCTCTGGACAATCCTTCTTTGCATTATCTCCTCCAGCAGTTCCGAAACTCCCGAAACTCTGGCTGAGTTATTGAAAGGACTTGGAGTTCCTCCATCTTGTTGGCCAGTGATCCCACATTGCCCATTATGATCAATGGAAGAGATGGTTTGAATTTCCTCTCTCTCGGTCTCCGTTTTGCTCCCGCTCTGCATCCACGCTTCTAGCATTTAAGCTCATTTGGGATTTGTGGCTTCAGTTGAGGTTAATCAGCTGCACCCAATTGTAAACAGATTGTTGCCATGGTTACGCATCATAACAAATGCTCAAAAAGTGAAAAAAGCTAAAAAATAGCAGTAAAAATTCTCCAAGCTTCACAGCACCAGAAACAGAAAAGTAAAGTGTCCAAACAAATACAGTTTTTCTTGAGAAACTAGAAGAAAAATGCCCAAGAAAAGGCAAAACCTACATATAGTCAACAGAGCTACTCCAACATGCAGCCGCCCAGAGCAGCGCAGTTTCGGAAAAAGTGGACATGAATCCCGTCAGGAAAACATCACGTCCTTCTTTACAGCTCAGGTCTTACAGAAACACTGGAAGAAACTCCGTTTGTTAGCAGTCTGTTAACAAGAAGCTTTGAGATAGCTTAGCTACCCACAATGGATTTATATTACCTCAGCATGTCAGGAGACATGTGGAGATAAAGACGCTGAGGCACTGCGACCCTTCAAACTTAAGCGCCCAATAAGTGTTTAGCATCCCTTTAACTCTGAGCTGTAGCAGAGAGAAGTGCTAAAAATGGATGCAGCTCAAAGGGACAACTGATACTGCTGCGTAAAAGATGACTGAAGTCAAAAAACATAACCAGCTTTAACATTTTAGGCAAATAAGTCATTTGGGGAAAGGGTCAGTGTAGTAAAAGCTGCTTTAGCTGCAGTAGACAGTGTGCTTCAGGTCTAAACGAATAAAGAAATGAGAATCATAGAATAATGTGAAGCCCAACTTGTAAAGGTGTAAACTCACTCAAAGCTCTCTTTAACTGCCCGCTTTGTCAGTCCCTCATTATCATTCTCCATCCTTTAGGAATTCAAATAATGAGAATATTGTTTCCCCTCTCTTTTCTAATTATATAACTTCTGCCTTTTGACAGGGCGTCCTTCCTCACACAACAGCTCTTTGAGTCGCGGCTCCCACCATAAACGAGCTGATGGGACCAAATCGACACTGAAATCAAATTAAGGCCCATTGTTGGTGCGTGCGCCTCTGTCACTGACATGAAAAGAGGGGGGCCACGCCGAACAGATAACACAAATTGGTTTGGTGTGAAAGAAAATAACAGAACTGGGCGGGTGGGGCCTCCCCCCCCCCCCCCCCCCCCCCTTCACTTCAAAATAACAATACAAGAAACGTCAGCATTGCTTTCATACATTTATTTACAACAAACAGATCCCAGGCGTGAGTTTGGTATGCATTTAGTGTGCAGATGTGAAACTTATTTATCTAAATAATAATCATCAGTTATGCTCTTTGAGTGGGATTTCTGGAAAAGTTTTCGTAATCTCATCTTTTTTTAATTTGTCGTCTAGCAGATGTCCCAGTGCGATTGGACAGCAGCCATCAGACGACACTAGGTGATAATTTGGCCCTGACTGCCCTGCTGTGACGTGATAATAACGCGCTCATATCCTGCTGTGATGCTTCTGATCGGCTGACAGTTAAGCACAAAAAAGGGGCTTGAATTAATTAGCAACGGGGGACTGCTGTTGCAAACCTGTTCCACATACAAAATGAAACATTTCATACACAGAAGCATTTCAGTGTGCTTTCCAGGAGCAAGAACAGCAAAGTCAATGTGACTGCTTAATTAAAATACACAAGTAAATTTAGATCAAATTAAAAACACAATTTAAATTCTGATTTAAGAATCGCATAAAGAGGCAAAGGTAAGGGCGAGCAGTTACAGTGCAGCATAAAAAAACATTTATTCAAAGGCTGATGAATGCATGAAAGTTTACTATTTTGACTGAAAAGTTACTAGTTGGGGCACATTTGAGGTTATAAAGAAGCTGATTCCATCTGTGTGCAGCATAGTAGCTAAAAGCAGCTTCACACTGTTTGGTTCTGACCTGAGGTTCTAGCAGCTGACAGTTTCATAAGGATCTCATGCTAGGCCTACAGGTGCTGGCCAGTAAATTAGAATATCATCAAAAGGTTGAAAATATTTCAGTAATTCCATTCAAAACGTGAAACTTGTACATTATATTCATGCAATGCACACAGACCAATGTATTTCCAATGTTCATTACATTTAAATTTGATATTTATAGGTGACAACCAATGAAAACATCAAATCTGGTATCTCAGAAAATTAGAATATTCTAAAGGCCAATGAAAAAATGTTTGTTTCTCTAATGTTGGCCAACTGAAAAGAATGAACATGAAAAGAATGTGCATGTATAGCACTCAATACTTAGTCGGGGCTCCTTTTGCCTCAATAACTGCAGTAATGCGGCGTGGCATGGACTCGATCAGTCTGTGGCACTGCTCAGGTGTTATGAGAGCCCAGGTTGCTCTGATAGTCGTCTTCAGCTCCTCTGCATTGTTGGGTCTAGCGTATTGCATCCTCCGCTTCACAATACCCCATAGATTTTCTATGGGGTTAAGGTCAGGCGAGTTTGCTGGCCAATCAAGGACAGGGATACCATGGTCCTTGAACCAGGTGCTGGTGGTTTTGGCACTGTGTGCAGGTGCCAAGTCCTGTTGAAAGGTGAAGTCTGCATCCCCATAAAGTTGGTCAGCAGCAGGAAGCATGAAGTGCTCTAAAACTTCCTGGTAGACGGCTGCATTGACCCTGGACCTCAGGAAACAGAGTGGGCCAACACCGGCAGATGACATGGCACCCCACACCATCACTGACGGTGGAAACTTTACACTGGACCTCATGCAACGTGGATTCTGTGCTTCTCCGCTCTTCCTCCAGACTCTGGGTCCTTGATTTCCAAAGGAAATGCAGAACTTGCTTTCATCAGAAAACATAACTTTGGACCACTCAGCATCAGTCCAGTCCTTTTTGTCCTTGGCCCAGGCGAGACGCTTCTTGCGCTGTTTCTTGTTCAAGAGTGGCTTGACACACGGAATGCGACACCTGAATCCCATGTCTTTCATGAGTCTCCTCGTGGTGGTTCTTGAAGCGCTGACTCCAGCTGCAGTCCACTCTTTGTGGATCTCCCCCACATTTTTGAATGGGTTTGTCGTCACAATTCTCTGCAGGGTGCGGTTATCCCTAGAGCTTGTACACTTTTTTCTACCACATTTTTTCCGTCCCTTCGCCTGTCTGTTAATGTGCTTGGACACAGAGCTCTGCGAACAGCCAGCTTCTTTAGCAATCACCTTTTGTGTCTTGCCCTCCTTGTGCAAGGTGTCAATGATTGTCTTTTGGACAGCTGTTAAGTCAGAAGTCTTCCCCATGATTGTGGTGCCTTCAAAACAAGACTGAGGGACCTTTTAAAGGCCTTTGCAGGTGTTTTGAGTAAATCAGCTGATTAGAGTGGCAGCAGGTGTCTTCTATATTCAGCCTTTTCAGAATATTCTAATTTTTTGAGATACCAAATTTGGAGTTTTCATTAGTTGTCACTTATGAATATCAAATTTAAATGTAATGAACATTGGAAATACATTGGTCTGTGTGCATTGCATGAATATAATGTACAAGTTTCACGTTTTGAAAGGAATTACTGAAATATTTCCAACCTTTTGATGATATTCTAATTTAATGGCCAGCACCTGTATATACAAGGAGATCTGACATGTATTTTGGTCCTGTGTTATTGAGAGACTTATAAACTAGTAGAAGTGCTTTCAAATCGATTCTGTAGTTTACTGGTAACCAGTGTAGAGATTTAACCCTGAAGTACCCATGGTGACACTGGTTTTACAACCCATTTCAAACACCTTGTCTGCTGGTGGTGTGTTGCATGGCGCCAGTTCTCGGCAGCCTCGCCTCTGTCAGTGCGCCCCAGGGCAGCTGTGGCTACATCGTAGCTCATCCCCACCAGCGTGTGAATGTGTGTGTGAATGGGTGAATGACTGATTGTGTTGTATAACGCCTTGGGGGGGTTCTAGGACTCTAGAAGATGCTATATCAAATACAAGCCATTTACCTGCAAATTTGCTTCTTGGGTCAAATATTCTCGTTTGAAAACCCCAATAATTATAATTAGAAAATTATTCTACCTCTTAATTTTATTTAAATATTTTCTACACTTTAATGTATTTATTTAAATATGTTTCCTAATTTTAAGGTTTGGGTTCTAAACAGTTAAGAACAAGAGTGATGTGCTTGGTTTTCCGGGTTCTTGTTAAACTCTGGCAGCAGCATTCTGAATAAGCTGCAGTTGTTTCACATCTTTTTTTTTGGGGGGGGGGGGGGGGGGGGAGACAAGTTAAAAGACCATTGCAATGGACCAGTCTGCTGGAAATAAATGCATGAATGAGTTTCTCTAGGTCCTGTCTGGATACGAGACCTCTGAGTGTTCCTGTTTTATGGCCAGTGAACCTCTAAACAGTGTTTGAATCAAATATGACACCAACATTTCTAACCTGGGTCTTTGTCTTTAAAGGGACATTTGCTTGCAAATTTACAGCAACCAAATGTGTTATTTCTAGTTAATTAATAAAAAAAAGGTCCTGTTAAAGCAGAGCAGCTTGAACTTCATTTCATAGCAAAAGCTTCACCTCTGCAATGATAGTAAATATTCCATTCTGGTAAATAATGAATGAGTCAGTAACACTGTTTCAGTTTCTACCTTGCCCTCATTATTCACCACACACTCACAAACTCAAATGTGCTCCAACCCAGTCGTATCCCTAAGCAATTAGTTGCTCTGAAATATCAAGGGGCTAGTTATTCAAGCATGTATTTCATATTTTATTGGTTTACCCAGAGTCTTGTATGCAGACCAAGCTTTAGCAAACACAGCCTCTGCACATTTCCCAAGCTCCTCTGCAGTCAGCAAGTAATTGGAGAGGGAGTCCCAAAGGGTCCTCGAACACCACCGAAGCTGCTGCCACCGACAAGTTGAAATGGCAGCAGAGGTAGATGGGAGTCGCTGTTTGTGTGCAGCAGTGTGTGTGTGTGTGTGTGTGAGCCATATAGGTGGTGGGCTGGAGCACTTTGTGTAAATAAGACCGCAGCCTTTGGACGTTCACTGGTTGACTGGGAAGCCATCTGGTTCCACAAACCCCCACAGCAACATTCCCCATGTGGGGATGTTCGATTCTGCACACGGGGGGGGGGGAGGCGAACTGGCAGTGAGGTGCATTGTACGAATGCCAATTTAAGCCCCTGCTGCTCCAAATTAGTTAATTAACTATCTCTCACATAGGGGGAAAGTTCCTTTGTATGCTCCAACACAATCCCACTCTTTTATTCTAAAGCTGTGCCAGCTATCAGCTTGTGAAATTAGCAGCAACAGTTAAATGTGGGATAAAAAGACTCACAAGTAAATCCACAACATTACATAGGCAAAAACAATAAAATGGTTTGAAGTAAATCTTGGAATTAGATGCCGGATTTAAAAATCCTGCACAGCTTTCAAGCAGATGTTTGGTCTGCAACTGGTGTTTATGCGATAAGATTGAAAGGATTACATCACTTTATGTATTTTCACATATAGCCACAAAGCTGCAGTTGTGTTCGGGTTTTTGTGAGGATTTACTTTTTAAACGGTTACAAAATGTAAACAAGTCATGTTTTAACTGTGACTCTGTGCACTGATACAAAGTGGTCATGACCCGAGGCGATGACGAAACGGAGGTGGACTGCACTGCTGCCATTTAACTGAAAGAGAAATGCAGATAAAAGTTATGATGTTATTCAAAGCTGCAATGGTTCAAAATGAGGATTTATGCAAGAAGACTGTCTTAATTACTTACTGATAAAGTATTTAACTGAAGATGTCTCTCAGTTCTTTCAAATTCTGCAAAGGCAAAAGTTTGTAAGCAACAATGACATTTTCAGGGATTTAAATTAAAATGTAATAACCGTAATAACGAATGTGCCCCTTACCTTTTTCTGTAACAAAATCAAACTGAGACACCTTTGGTGATGTATTCTTCTCCATCTTTAGATGCTTGACTGAAAAAAGGAAAATACAAATAGATATATGTGATTATAATCAAACTGCTGATTCCAGTGATGTTTCACAAATCTCATAAAAAATCTGGAAACTTGCATGTGACTTCATTTGTGGAAAACAAATCATGACAATCCTTCAGTTTCAGAAAGATTTAGGTGATTATTACTTATATTTGACTTTAAACAGAGTGGTTGACTCGTTTCATCACTACATTTGCAGTGGTCTTTAGTAGGAATGAATGTCTTGTAAGTCGTTCTTGGGGGGAAAATATTTATCGGTGCACCATTTCAAGGAACTAAAAGTTGCCTACATCACAGCTGAGCTTCATTTAGCAGGTTTTGGAGCCTTTTCTCCAGATATTTGGAAATCTATCTCTGACTTACAATGTGGATGTTATATTGCACAAATAACAAGCCTGGAGGAGCTTCTGCTGTGTGGTGAAGTCGCTAATGCTAACGGTTAGTTTAAACAAGCCAAGACGTTCTCTGCTGACTACCGGATGCTAAAACAACAGCCGTCCCCCTTGTGAGTCAAGATCGGTGAGTCCATGAATGCTAATTCACAGTGTGACATAGATCTGTGATTTTTGAATAATAGTGTTTCACTGTCTATTCTCTGTCAGAAGCTAATGCAGGAGATAGGTAAAGGAGACGGTTTTCATGTTCAGCCTGCATGAAAAACTCTGAGTGACTGGTTATATTCAGTCACCCACATCATATCTCTATAGGTTAAAATGTGAGAGTGGTCCAGTATTAGAAAAAATCTTCTTAGGTTTGGGATATTAAAATCTGATCAACTCTTAAATCGTTTTGATCATTTCAACGTTAGCACAGACTGGATAATAAAAACTTAAACGGAGCCCCAGTGTGGCTAAGATAAAAAGACTGTGGTGGACTTTAGGAGGAGACAATCCCCAACAGCTTTGTTTGATGAGGAGGATGAAAACTGCTGGGCTTGTTTTTAGCAGTGTGTGGTGGAGAGCATCCAGCATCAGCCTGCATTACTCCAGACCCCTCCCATCCAAGCCATGTGCAATTCACCCTTCTTCCTTCTGGCAGAAGTTTAAGCAGCCTAAAAGTCTAGACAACAAGCCTGTGATCTCTGACCCATTATCTGCAGTTTGTTCCCTATACTGTACGATATTAGATGATTTTTTATTTATTTACTTATTTTAGACTGACCTGATTAACACTTTTCATTCTTCAAAAATCTGATGATTAACAATAATTTACTCAGATTCTATTATCTCTCCAAATGCAAATTTGAAGTTTACCATTTTTAGCTTATAATAATAATGTCATTTTTAATGCAAAAAAATCTCATTGTTGCTTTTTTTTTATTATTAAAAACTGATTTAAAAGCCCTCGTATCTTAGAGATGTGATTGGAAAAGCACAGTTTTTTTTTCAACTAAAACTAATAAACTTGTTTAAAATGTGAACTTGGCTCATGAGTGTCAGTTTCTAATAATATGATTATACCGTTCTAAACCTCTAAACTAAGTCAGGTGGACAAAAATATGCTTTAAAGATAAACGAGAGGCAGTGAATAAGATTTTCTTAATGGGGACACACTGTAACCCCGAATAAGTTCACTGAACTCAAAATTTATGAGGAAACTGATTACCTAATAATTTTTAAGTTAACTTATCTAAAAACTATAAGTTTACCATAACTTAAAAAATATGACCTGAATAAAATCAAAGCATTTAACTACCTCCAGCTTATAACTTGGTACTTAAGCAACTTATAAAGTTTAATTTAACTAAACTTGCATATTTTATTTTATTTGAACTTTATTACATGTTTTTACTAACTTAAATATTATAACTTATATTAACTCTAAATGGACCTAATAAACCCTAACCCAAATGAGTTGAATTTACTTAGAAATGACAATGTGGCAGGCTGGTGAAGGCAGTAACTAGCACCAGATCATTACTCACACACCCATAAATGCTAACAGCCAATGAAAGTGGAACACTCAAAGTCAAGTCAAGAGCATCTGGTGTGAATAACCACAGTATTATTAACAATGGGACAGCACAGCCATACAGCATTACTTTGACCAACCTCCTCACTTATGGTGCCAACATGATACAAAAAGTAACACCACATCTGCAACACTGAATGAAATAATAACTGAGAACAACAATCCTCCACAACAGACATGCATAAACACCCCAAAATAGAGCTAAATAACTGAAAACATAACTACCCACAATGCACCTCCCCCACCAGTTGTTTATTGTTCCTGAAATCCAACAAAATTGCTAGTTTGTGGTTGTTTTTCTTGTAAAACCACAAATATTTAAAATAAAACAATATACAAGTCTGTTTATCAGACGCACTTTAGGGTTGATGTAAAGATGAATGGAATACAGAAACATAAAATAATAAATCAATCATTTTTTTGGTTAACTTTACTCATTAAAGTTAAGTTGTCTCTTATTGATTAATTTAAGTTATGTTTACTTAAAAAAGAAATGACTGTTTTTCTTAAAGGGTCACAATTTGGGAATGACATCCTGTGGTCAAATTTGGGTACTGCAGTCTGTATAAACAGAGTCTGCTCTGTTTAGCTGTCGCCAGTGACGGATCAGCCCCAGAAGATTCTTGATGACAAGTAAAGACTAGCCATACACAGTTAACTGATAAGTAAATAAATACATTTCACTGTAATATCAAGTTGTTGGTATTCAAAAACGTGGCTTGAGATATTTTTAGAGTTGACTATTTTTTTTATTCATTGTTGGCCCAACATTAGCCTCTTGCCTTTTATTTTATTTATTTTTACCTGATTTTAGAATAAAACAAAAGCAAGTTGTGGCTTCATACCCCATCTTTCCACTGGATGCGTAAGCTAGTGTGTACTGTAATAGGTGTGTTTTAATGTAATAGGCGTGTTTTACCCGCAAGCTCCCTTCCCACCAGGTGCATTTCCGATGTGAAACAGTAGCAAAAGCATTCCAAGCAGCTGTTCCCGCAAGGTAAAAAAAAATCACCAAAGAACTGCAGGGTCACGCATGATTTCAGCAGTACACGCGACAAAACGCAAAGGAAAAGACGGCAGTGTTTAACCAAAATGTCTGTGGTTTCTTTTCTGATCAATTTACTTCTTCCACTGAGGCTTCACAGATAATGACAAACTTTTCTACTAGTTAGGCTACTGAATATCTGCAAGTAATCTTTATTTAGAAAAATTCTGAACACTGTTTTGTGTTTGACTCCCTGTCTGGCCCGATCTGAACATCTGAACTTGTGTGTCCTTGTGGAAGAAGTTTGGAGTGATTAGAGGCAGTAGAGACACACATGGCAGCACAAAAGGATGCAAAAGGAAATTTTGCATAATGTGTCCCCTTTAAATATCAGCACAGCTGCTGGGAATAATAAACATCTGATTACAGGTCTGTGCAAATACACTTATGTAGCCTATATTGTCTTAGAGATGTATAAAGTATGTCTCTAATTAGTTTTGTGAGACAAGTGGGTGGAAAATCTAAAAGGTAGTTTCGAACAAAATATTTGCAACTAGTAGCATTGCTTCAGGGTGTTGCTATGCTCATCACAGTGCCTGGACAGTGTGTACTATTTATTGTCACTACGGTCTTCGTACCATTGTAGCTCTCCACTGTCACCGCAGCAACCCTCGTGGGCTCAGGAAAACGAATGACGAACTCTTGAGGAAACATCCCAGTGGACGTCCAAAATGTTTTTGTGTTCCTAGATGTGGACAAAAAATACGTTAATAAAATTAATCAGATACGATGCTATTTAGAATATAGACGACAAACAGTGTTGCAAAGCGCAGCAAGTACCCGTCCATAATGTTTTCTGGTGGGTGATTCTCATCGCAGGAAGAAGCGAAAACGACTTTTACACCCAAAGAGTTGAAAGATGAATCGCTCATAACGATCTGGTCCCGCGGTGGAAACGCCTAAACGTGCGTATCAGCAGGTTTAATGATAAAAACTCATCAAAAGCTGGGTTTAGCTGCTGTTTTATTGTGGCGTGTGAAGCTGTAGATGTTGCCAGGCCAACAGCGTTGTCGCATGATATATACGTCACTTCAAGTCACTCGCTTCCGACGCACATTGTTGGGTCCAGAAATTGACAACGATTGGCACACATTTCAGTGTTCCTACATGGCGAATGGATGTAGAGACGTGTTATTTACCCGTGGAACTGGGCAGGTGTGTTTAAAACATTTATTAGTCGAACTGGATAAAGTATACGAACTATTTTTTTTATTTCCTGTAGATCTATTTAAAACGAGAAGCTAGGAAGCTAAGCTACAAACCACCAGTAAGTTTAGCTAGTTGGACAACAAAGATAAACAGGGTCACAAAACAGCAATAGCTGTTGTTGGGTTTTATTAGTCGAGGTGGAGGATATAAATCACACAAAATTCACTCAAGCTGCATCAGAACTTCGTATTTTGAGTGAAGTGCTTTAGAAGTAGAGCTTGTAAACAGCACTGGTCTGTGACAGGAACAGAGGTACCACCTAAATATTTGGATAAGCATGCACCAAAGTAAGGCAGACCCTCTAAATGCATTTCCTTCTTTTTCAGAGTGATGATTCGGATATTTGGGATGATACCGCACTGATAAAAGCCTACGACAAGGCAGTTGCATCATTCAAGGTAAACTGGGTGCTTTTAGGTGTGCCTGCATGCACAGTCTTCTGTTTGTTTTGTTAGAATGATGCCCATTATGTGTGCCAGACTGCCCTGAAGGGTGAAGATGAACCTCAAGCTCCTAAGAAAAACCTACCAGGAAAAAAACGGAAGAACAACAAAAAGAACCAGAATGGGAAAAGAAACAATGTAGCCCCAGAGAAAGAGGTAATGAACTTTTTGTAATGTTGCAGCCTTAAAAATGTCTAATATTTGAGTTTAAAAATACAATTTTTGCATGCTTTGTTATCTGTTCTTTAAGTCATCTTCCTTGCATAATCCAAAAGCTTTAAAATAAACACTTTTTTAAAAAGATTTAGCTTTTTTTTTTTTTTTGCTTGGCACCCTCTAAGCTACATTTAGTTATAATCATTACAATACAGCTGCATGAAAACACAATCGCTAATTATTTTTATTCACTTTAAATTTTAATTTCAAAGCAGAAAAAAAATCAAATGTTATTATCTCATGACAAAACTGTGGCTTAAAGATGATAACACTTTTGAATGACTAAGAACTGAACTGACAGATTTCAGTTGATGCATATATAAATACCGTAATTTCCGGACTATAGAGCGCACTTCAATATAAGCCGCACCGGGCTAAAAGCCGCAGAATCTACTGAATTGAAAACATAGTTTAACTGAACGTAACTGAACTGATCAGTATCAAACAAAACAGAAAAGTTATTGATTAGTTTATTCATCGTCCTCCTGCGCACTGAAACCACTGAAGTTATCTTCTTCAGTGTCGGAGATGAACAGCCTCAGAAGAGCTTTGTTACATACCTTTTCTGTGGTGATGTCAGTGTCGCTCTCCGTGTTGCTGTCATCATCCCGGGGTGAAGCTGGGAAAGCAAGCAGCGCCGTTTTACTGTGAAAAAAATTGCTCCTGGGCGCTTTCCATAGCACTCCTTTAACCACTCCTTCAGTAGACTTTCCAGCATCCATTCATTTCTGGTTGACTAAAGCCGCACCTCATTATAAGCCGCATGGTTCAAAGCGTGGAAAAAAGTAGCAGCTTATAGTCCGGAAAATACGGTAATTCTTTCTCCTTTTTTTTAGGAGAATTAACATTTATTCTTTTTTTTTTTTTTGATTATGACATTTTTATTTGTACCACAGTGGCAGGTTGGAGACTCCTGCTGTGCTTATTGGTCTGAGGATGGTCAGCTTTATGCAGCCACCATCTCCTTCATAGACCAGAAGAAGGGCACTTGTACTGTTGTGTATTCTGAGTATGGCAATGAGGAGGAGCAGAACCTTGAAGACTTGCTATCAGAGTTTTCTGAGTCTGGTGAAGAAACACATACCAAGGTGAAGTACTGCAAATCAAATGTTTTTTTAAACTAAAAAAAATAAAGTCAAACTTTTTATTAAAGTTGTTTTTAAAGAGTTCATCAATGTATTCATAAAGTGTGTTGTGTTATATTCACTCAGTTTCTATTGAATTCTGTAAATAATTCACCTAGACTGTCTTACATACATACAGACTTCAGACATAGTTATTTTTTTACTGGATAAAACATTAGCTGGTTGTCAGAATTAAATGGGACTTTTTTTCCTGATTGAACATAAACATTTTAACCTTTACAAAGGCATTTTGCATATTTTCTAAACTTTAAAAATAGAGGTCAAACATTACATTATTTGAGTATTTCATAATACTACGTTTTTATCTTAAATACATAAATACATGATTGTTTAGTTTTTTTTTTAATAAAAATATTAAGTGTTTTTTTGTTTGAATAATATATCGAAGAAAAAAAACTTCTCATCTTATGTGTAGCTGAGAAAGGCACTATTTTGTTTCAGATAACAAAATCGGGGGACTTTAAAATAGTTTTTCTTTGTAAGTACAGTAGTATTACATTTTTTGGTGCCATATATATCTTTTGTCAGTTATTTAAAAACTTATTTCCTTCCTAGATGCTCCTAAGAATTTGTTGTCTGCATACACAAAATAAATTTACATGACAAATCTGTCTGCTGTGTGAAGGTAAATGTGGAAGAATCCTCAACAGAAGAAAGCGATCGGTCGACTACATCAAACCAACAGAAACCCCAGCCACACAGTAAAGCCCAGAAGTCCAAGTCTCACAAAGAACCACCTCCTGTGTGGCCTCCTGCTTTCCCTGGATTCCCGCCCGGTCCTCCTCCCATGCACAGTTTCAGACAGGTAATAAAATGATTTATTAAATGACTTCCTTATTAGCCTTTCACTAAAATTTGCCAATTATACACCATTCTATGTAAAGTGTTTGAATTTATGTTTATTTCTAAAGTGTGTCAGGATGCCTCTGATGCTGCTTTGAGTAAAATAAAGTGTAAACAGTAAATTGTTTACAATGACCACAGCGAAAATAGCCTATAAACAAAAAGCTCTCCGAGCTGGCATTTATTGCAGAGATATTGGATTGCAATAAATTTCTCTTGGATTTGTCTCAATCTTTCTTCTCACCAACTCTATTTTTGCCTGTATGATATATTTGTCAGTTGTTGCACTTAAAAGGACAAAAATACCTCAGAGGGCTCGTATTTTAAACCAGAGGAAACTCTTGGAACCGTTTTTAATGCGAAGCAACCCCGTGCACCGTAGAGTAATGCTGAAACCACATCATGTTGTTTTTCTACAGGGGAAAAGCAGGCAGGCTGGTGGTCATGGACCTGTTCCTCCTCCATGGCCTCCCATGATGTCTTTTGGTCCGCCTGTGAGTTTGAAACTGCTGCTGTAGCTTTTTCACTAATAAATAACAAAACAGACTATTCAGCAAAGGTATCACAAATAAGTGGAAGGGGAGGGAACAGGGTAAAAGGCTGAAATACTCTGAAGTAAAGAGGATTTAATGATAAAAAAACTATTCTTACATAAACGTTTAATAAAGAAACCCAAGATGACATGATTCATATTTTATTCACTATTAGGCAGTTTTTAAATGTTGCCTAGGTGTTGAATTTTGAACTCTTTATTTGCCACATGTGTGATCCAGATGTTCTGATCTCACCCAAGCTGCTTCTTCTGCCTCAGATGATCCCTCCACCTCCACCCATGAGTCCTGACATGGTGGATGATGAAGCCTTGGGTAGTGTGCTCATATCCTGGTACATGAGCGGATATCACACAGGATACTACCTGGTATGTGCACAGATGCCTCCTGATTATCTTAAATGAGATTTATCGCCAAAGCCATCGTCCTCTTTTCTGGTTCTGATGTTGGTGATAAATCTAAAGATTCTAATTTCTTTGTGGTTTTACTAACATTGTTTTTATTTTCCCAGGGATTGAAACAAGGACGCAAAGAAGCTGGCAAGTGGACAAAAACACACAAAAAATGAGACGCAGAACTTTGACGTTGGTTTGAGACGCTTGTTACACGAACCAGGAGCCGTCACATTAAATTCGTTGATCCGTTTAATAAATAAAAATTTTGTATTCCTTGTAAATGGATAAAATAAAGGTTGTCAAACAAACTTGACTGTTCTGTTTATATTCCACTAGACAGGATAGTTTTATTAGCATATATAAGGTTTAAACAGCGTTTCAGCTGTTTGACATTTCATTGTTCAGGCTTCCCTTCAAACCATCTTTAAAATTCAGCAAAGTCAAATAAGTTGGCTTGTTTTGTTTAACATAAATTTCAGTTTTCATTTTCAGGCCTTTTATTCCATCATGAATAACAGCCTCCAGTCTGAGGAATCATTGCATCTCCATCTTACGATGGGGAGAACATGTACTCTGTGCAGGAAGTTTGCAGCCAGGATTTAGACGCCATCATGCATGTGCGTGACAAATATTTGCAGGCACAGATATTAATACACATAGAAAATACAAAACTAAGAGATACGCATCTAATTTAAGAAAACCTGCACACAGTAGTACAGAGAAAAGAACAAAAATAAAACCAGACTCAACACTGACTTTGCTGCAAGGCTACATGCAGCCCTGCTCAGAAACAATCAAGGTGGACCAAACCTACAAATTGAGTGTCAGCATTTGGTGTTTGGCCATAGACGCTTTACTGAGGTCAGATCTTGTTTGATTTTAGGTGTCAGTTCCTAAAGCTCCTTGTCATTTCTTGTTAATGAGTTGATTGAGAATTTTTTTATTATTTGACAAAATGATCTGAAGAATATGCTTTTGCTTCATGGTGCCACATCAAACACAGATTCAAGAGGAATAAAATGGAAATGAATATTTTATAAGACCATAAAACACCAAAATTTTAAAAGAAGAGACACATTTTTGATAAACTGAACGCAGATAAAATAAATCTGACTCAATAATGCGTGGTTGTAATGGCATATCTTGTCCAGCAGAAGTCAGAAAAGTATAATAAATTCACATTGTTGCTGATTATTTCGAGTAGAAGGGACTTCTCCACTTGGTTGTCCGTATCTTCCTACAGTGTCGGCGTGATTGTGAGCCAGACTTCTGTGCAGTTTTGGTCTCTGATGCTCTCCAGTCAGTAGATTTAGAGAATCGTTCCAGTTTATGCTCTGCATCCAAGCCCTCTGTTTCCCCCAAGGTGTCCCCTCATCTCCCACCCTGTATAGGAACACATCCATCATATGTTTTCTCTTTTCCTCAACTCATTTCAGACTGGTTTCCACTTCAGGGTGATGCTAACACACTTCAGCTGCAAGTATTATGTCACAATGGAGAAACTTTTCAAATGGAGCAAAAGATTCTGAAGATTAATATCATTTTTTTCCTCTAAATGCCATTTATATCTTATGTATTCACCCTTTAGGTGACAACGGAAAGCTTTATTAATTCCTTTGACTTAATTCTAATATAATTAAGTATTCTCCCATGTCCTGAAACCTGATTCTGTAATGTTTTTGGCTCTATTAAGAACAGAGAGCGAGGTAGAGCGGCGGCTGCAGAGACGTTTGTGCATGTTTATATTTAGAATCCAGAAAACCACATGTAATTACAGCGGGAACAGAAACACTCGTTCTGCTCAGCCTTTCATTCCATGAAAAGAAGGCCTAACAAATTCCCCAGATTTCCTACCCTGGTGATTTGCTGCCCACTTACACCCACTCCGCTGGTTGTGCACTGGCAGGCGATGGATCATATCATGTAAATGTTTGTATGCACGAGAGAGAGAGAGACATAATAGGTTTTTGTGTGAGGATGCAACAGCAACGATTCTCATTTTTGTTTAGCATGTGATTATTTTTTTTCTCCTCCTTCCAGCAGCTCTACAGCCACTGCTTTCTGAGTGAAGATTGGCCCCTTTGTTTGATCGCGGTCGACATTTCACAGCCCACCGTGACCGCCCATATTTACAGCTGCGTTTGATTCTTGCTGAAGCAACACTTTTTTTTTGTTTTCCCTGCTTTGTGCGCATGTGTGAGAAGGCAAAACGAGGGAGAAAAAGGGTAAAAAATGTATTTCCAAATAGAATATGCACCACACACGAAGAGCGACATACCAACGCTATCTTTTCCCTGCAGATGGGTTTAAAATCTGCCACGGTGAAGCCTACACATAAACCAATTGCTTGCTTGACTTTGCAGCAAACTAAGCTGCCCAAAGGGCCCAGAGGAGCCCATGAGGAGTATATGCAGGGAGGGGGTCTGACCTTGCTGGGAAACACACCGCGCCCCTCTCTGATGGTCTACCCCCTACTGACCACAGAAGGGTGTCGAGTGTGTAAACATAATCTGCATTTTGCATAGTTCCCTTCTAGGAAACAGACATCTGAGATCATGCATGAGTTACAGAGCCCTCAGCTATTTACTCGAGCCTCCAACATAAACACAAATTCTGCTTTTATATCAGCAACTTTGGGAGTTATTAGGAGCTGCAAACTCTTTTTTTAATTCAACGAGTACAATAAGTGCTTCTTGATGAAGGAAAGAAGTAGTTTTGGGCTATTACACGTAATTGTTTGGAGATGTGTCTCTGCTGTAGGTTTGTGAATATCTTCATAGCAACTTTCCACGCAGCTGTTCATTTCATTAGTTACACATATAACACGTTGGACTCCTGAAAATTACAGATTTTTAAGTTTAATGTCCTCCATAGAGGCAGCTATAGAGAGAAAACACTGAAGTTCTGCTGCCTCTAATGTAAAATTTTTATCAGCTATCCAGCTAAAATCCCTGCAGCTTCAGTCGGTTCTTTCTCTAGGCCAGGAATATTTTTTTCTTCCCTTTTTTGGACGGTTGCTTGTGCAGCAGGGTTGGGGTTAGTGAGTCAAAGTGAGAAATAAATAACAAGAGATTTTCGTTGTCAGGCAGTTTTTATATCAAAACAGAAATTTTTCAGGACTAGTCATTTGATATGGACAAATTTTTTGTCTGAAATAAAGTTTGATTGTTAAACACAAAATACCTAAATATCTTATGACTTTTTTAAAGTTATAATGGCTCTATGGTCGATACCAAATATGTTCATGACATTATTTGCACTAATTTCCTCTCTCATTAAGCAATTTCAGCAGTTTTAATTTTGAGCCGTTTCAGGGCTATGTCACTTTCAGAAAACAAGCTGGAGCTGCCCCCACCCCCCACCACCCCCATGCTGTTATAAGCTGAGAAGCTCTCATATTCGAGAGTGGCTCATGGTAGAGCCGCTGCTCCTCCAGCAGCAGCTCTCTCTTGCAGATAAGAGGTGGTTTTATGCTAACTTCCCCATTTGTGACATCACATACAGGGACTTTTTGAAACTGCTGGTTTTAGGCACATAATTCCTGGAACCAAACTCTGACAGAAACTATATGGATGTTTTCTTTACACACTCGGAATCTTTATAGAGGCAGTAGAGACCCACATGACAATACATTTGGATACAAAGTGAGTTTTCCATTGTATATCCCCTTCATTAATACCGTTATAAGTATTTGTTTTCTATGAATACGATGTTCAAATCGATTCACAGCAAATTTACTGCGTTAATAATAATACATCAAACTTATATAGCGCTTTTTAGGACACTCAAAGATGCTTTCATGCACTCACATTCACACACTGCTACTGATGGTAAGCTACCTTGTAGCCACAGCCGGCCTGGGGCGGTCTGACAGAGGCGAGGCTGCCATTTGGCGCTGTCATCCCCTCTGACCACCACCAACACAGGCAAGTTGGGTGAAGTGTCTTGCCTAAGGACACAGTGGCAGAATACCCCTGGCGGGAGCTGGAATCAAGTCCATGACCCTCCGATCACAAAGCAACCCGCTCCTCCTGAGCTTCTGCTGCCCAGTTTTACTCCTCAGTGTTGTGGTGTTACTCGCTGCCACAGACATTGACCTGCTGCATCACCCTTTGTTTAGACTGACCTCTGTGAATAGAAATGTTTGGTCTGACCTTTCTGAATTCTAGTCACAGCAGGTTACGGTGCCTCCACAAGTTACGATTCACATTCCTGCAGAATCTCTGTGCTCTGTTGCAGATGCTCATAAATAAAAAATGACTGAGGCCAGTTCCACCAGCTTTACAACCTCCTAAACAGGATGCATTATTTGTTCCAAGGAAATTGGAATTCTCAGAAGCCAAAGAATAGCAAATATTAGTATGCTATGGAAGCTAAAGATGTCATGTGCTGCAATATTCATATTGATAGATGCATGAATGAAAATGAACACAATGCTGCAAATAGCTTAAAAAAGCACAAGATGACTTGTTAAACGATGGAACTTAAAACATTATTGACATTTTTACTCATTTTACACTTTTTGCATTACTTGTAAAACTAAAGTTATTTTTCGGAGCTCAGAAGAACTTTGAAAAGCTAAATATTTTTGTAATAAATTTCTCTGGAGGCTCTTTGATCATATATTTGGATTTCGTCACAATAAATGTTAACGCGGTCTTGTGTCTGGACTGCAGGCATGTCCTTTTATTGCAGTGTTGTGATTTGTGCACATGTAATATGTAGTCTACTCCTTGCAGACAGTGATGTTACTCTAATTCTTAATGTATTATGCTTTAATGATCCAACATCATGAATTTGAATTTTTGAATTGACCACTGATTTCCAGCCAGATTGTTCTTTTTACAATAGGACAGCATACGCAGCACCTGAAACAACAAAGATTTAAAATTTTTATTTGACATATCATTAAATTATGTTGTTTCTGTTTACTTTAGGGGAGCTTGGAGGCAAAACCTGTGTTTCCCATTCATTCATAGTGTAGTGTTGCTGAACCTGTGCAATAACTCCCTGCAGAATCATGTCAGGTTTTATTTCTGTGGTTGCTGAAAGCAGTAAAAGGAAATGACTCAGCTTCTCACTTCAGATCCTCAGATCTTTGTAACTTATTTCTGTTAGCCAAATGACTTTTTAATGCAGAACAAGACATTGCTCAGCAGTAAGTCCCCACGTCATCATGACACCTGCCTCTGTAGCGCCAGGGCGCATACGACAGACCATTACCGCAATATTACTACCAAGCGAGGCGGAACGAATGCCGCAAAATTCACGCAATGCCATGCCGGCATGGCGCGTTTAAAGACATAAC